CTTTTCTGCCCAGGCTGATTTCAAACCATGATCCTGTGTATCTCAGCCTCCTGTATAGCTAGGATTACAGATGTGAACCACTAGCACCCAGCCCCATATGAACACAGGTATATGCCACCAACAAAGATTTGAAGTAACTATAACAGTTATAAAATAGAGCTCAGTAAGCACAGAATGGCAATCTAGTAGCTTCTGCTCAAGCAGAAGGGGAAAAAATGCAAATACTTCTATTGGTAGAGTTTGTTTCCAGTGAATCACTAAGTCTTTTTTTTTTTTGGATCCGGTCGTGGGGCCTGAACTCTGGGCTTGGGCGCTGTCCCTCAGCTCTTCAGCTCAAGGCTAGTGCTCTACCACTTGAGCCACAGCGTCACTTCCAGCTTTTTTCTTATGTGGTGTGAGGAATCGAACCCAGGGCCTCAGGCATGCAAGGCAAGCGCTCTACCATTGAGCCAACTTCCCAGCCCTGAACCACTAAGTCTAAGTCTTTATCCTAAGTAACAGCTATCTGAATATGCAGGTATGCAAGCAGCAACTAAGTGTATGTGAGAAGCATTTGAAGGAATTTTCAGATTGTTGAAGTCAAAAGTTAAAAGTGACATATTGTTATTCAGATTTATAGACCTCTCCTTTGTGATCACAGAAAATTTCCTTGTCTGGGCATGGTAGCTCCCAGCTACTCAGGAAACGGAGATCTGAGGATTGTGGTTAGAAGGTAGCCTGGGCAGGAAAGTCCCTGAGACAGTTATTTCTGATTAACTACCAAAAAGCCAGATGAAGAGTTGTGGCAGAGTGCTAGCTTTAAAAAACTAAGTGACAGAACTCAAGACCCTGAATTCAAGCCCTAGCACTAGCACAAAAACAAATATTTGTTTACTAAGCAGTGATTCAGAAAAATAACCCAAAGAATAGCTATATATTAATCACAATCTACACGTACACTTGTCACGGTCTATCACTGGTCAAAGGAAAACAAGAACACAATCTTTGATGCACAGCCTAAATCTCCAACCCTGGTGGTGGTCTTTGCAGGTTCAGGCATGTTTCTGACTTATCCCCTAGGCTGTTCTGTAACTTGTGCCTGCAAGTACTTATCCCACACCACTTCTTATGGAAGATGATGAGGACATGACTAAACTTTTCCTTGAGCTAAGGGATTCAAGGGAATTAGTGGATTCACAATGCAAATTAGCAAAGGTGGTGAAATAAAAAAGATACTTGTTTAATTCCTGTAATACCTTGCCAGAAGGTGTGACATAGGATAAGCTGTAAATAACTTCAAGGAACACTTTTCTTCATGTAGAAACTTTTTCCTAAAAACATAATGAAGCTGGGTGTCAGTGGCTCACACATTGTAATCCTAGCTACTCAGGAAACTGAGATCTGAGAATCACAGTTCAAAGTTAGCCTGGCAGGAAAGTCTATGAGACTTTATCTCCAGTTAACCACCACAAAAACTAAATGGTGCTGTAGCTCAAGTGGTAGAGGGCTAGCTTTGAACACAAAAGCTCAAGGACAATACCCAAGCCCTGAGATCAAGCTCTATGAATGACAACAGCAACAAAAACCCCATAATGAATGCCAGAATTCCAGGACAGTTTCTCAATTCTCTTTTTTTCTGGTTTTCCAGAGTTTCAATTCTATTTTCTATTCTAAGCACATTATTTAATATTGGACCTTATTAGTTTTTAAAAACAAATTCAGGGGAAAAAAGATAATGTAAACTGAATTTGTTTTGTTTTGTTTGATGCTGGCTCTGGGTCTTGAACTCAGAGCCTTGTGCTCTCACTTGGCTTTTTTTGTTCAAGCATTAGGTTTTTTTGCTCTATCTCTTGAGCCATACCCTCACCTTCTTAAAGTTTGTTAATGTGTACTTTTATCTTTTTTTTATTATTTTTATGGCCTTAGTGCCCTCATATCAACTATAATTTAATCAACACATCAGCCAAAGAAAAGTTGTCTCTCTCTCTCTTACACACAAATGTACACACACAGTAGCCCATTGTAAAGGTTAAGTAAGAAAGTAAGACCATTAAAGAGTTTCTGAATAAGATAAATTGAAATCCCAGGCATATGTGGTTCAGCTTTTTACAGCCTTCATAAAATTGTGCATACACCTCAGTTTTCAAGGATGAGTCAAACATTTCTCATGTATACAGTACTCAGCATTTTCCTCCATCATTCCACAGGCAACAGGACAAGTTCACACATCTGACTCTGACTAATAACGCTGACAACACTTTTCAACTCCCATCTCCATGCCTACAACTTTGAAGATATCATTTAATTATCTCTTTAAAATGTGCAAAACAAAATAGCCCTTGAGATTCTCTACTAAGAGTTTCTCTTTCAAGTAAACTCATGAGATGATACTTTTTGTTTGTGCTGGTCCTGGGGGCTTGGACTCAGGGCCTGGGTGCTGTCCTTGTACTTTTTTGCTCAAGGCTAGCCCTCTATCACTTTAGCCACAGCTCCACTTTTCTGGCTTTTAAATGGTAGTTAATTGGAGTAAGAGACTATGGACCTCCCTTCTCCCTGTCCTGGCTGGCTTCAAACCATACAGATGTCAGCTTCATGAGTACCTAGGAGCCTTGCTGAGATGACACTCTTTTAACAGCCACAAAGTATTTATGAATATGGAGACCAGACAGAGGCTTCTGAGAAGTCATGCCAAGAAGACGCCCAGTTCAACATGTTCAGAACCTGCATTTAATGAAATTCTTTTTGCATAATTACCATAAATATCCACAGACCTAACATTCTTATTTGTGTAGTTTCTGAAATACTGGTTTTGATACATTCATGTGCAAAAAAATAATAATAGATTACAAATAGTTAAGGCTGGGGATGGTGGTGCGCTTCTGTAATCTAAGCACTAAGTCAAAAGGATCCTAAATTCCAGGCCAACCCAGGGTACAATCCAAGACCAAAGAATAGCTAGAGGACCAGCTCATGTGGTAGAGAATAGAGTTCAAACCCCAGTAGAGCAAACCAAACAGTAGTAATTAACATTTAACTAAATGCTTAACTATTTATTTATGTTGGAGACAACTACTATGTTGCCCAGGCTGGCTTCCAACTCACAGTCCTCCTATCTCAGCTTTCGGAGTAGCTTACACAAGTGAGAGACTGCTTCAGCAGGGTGCCAGTGGCTCACAACTGTAATCTTAGCTACTCAGGAGGTTGGGATCTGAGGATTGCTATTCGACAGCCCAAGTAGTAGAGTGCTCTTGAGCACAAAAAATGGCTCTGGGACATTGCCCAGGCCAAGTTCAAAGCCCAGGCCAAAGGGGGGGTGAGGGGGGAAGATTCCTTTAATCGTTTTCTCAGAGCACATAATCTAGTGTCAAACTCAAGTAATTGATTTAGGTCACTAGGACATTTTTTTCCCTCAGATTTCAGAATAACTGCCACAAGGATTACAAGAAGTGGCTCAGTCTCTAACAGAAAACATAAGGGAGAAAAAGGCTGGGGAAGAAGATCATGCTGTTATAAAAATGATTTGTATGAGGCATCAATTGAGAATGGCCCATAGTTAAAGTTACATCCCTACTTCTGCTGTCTCCAGATACTGCTGGTCTCCTGAGAAGACAGCAAAACATCAGAGTGAGTAGGCTGCTAACTGTAAATCACAAAAATCAGGAATCTTTATGCTTCTGTTAACAGTTGTTCTATTGCAACAATCAAGTCAATAGATAATAGTTGCTCTATTGCAACAATAAAAAGTTAATCCATTAATAGCATATGAGTGATCCTAAAATTTTCCAGACTTTTCCCAAGTTTGTGATTACAAATTTGGGGATAAAAGGTCTGGGATTTCTTCAGAACTCTCACTAAGGTGACAAGATACAGTGATTCTTCTGTAAAATTTTAAAGTAGTTGACATATCTGGATTTTGAAAAGTGTATATGGACTTTATGCTATAACTTACATACAGAAATTTATTCACAGATCTTGTTAGTTTTTGGGGGTTTTTTTGCCAGTCCTGGGGCTTGAACTCAGGGCCTGGGTGCTGTCCCTGTTCTTTTGCTCAAGGCTGGTACTCTACCACTTGAGCCTCAGCGCCACTTCCAGCCTTTTCTGTTTATGTGGTACTGAGGAATCAAACCCAGGGCTTCATGCATGCTAGGCAAGCATTCTACAACTAAACTACATTTCCAGCTCTACTCACAGATTTTTTTTTTTAAACTAAATTTAAAACTCAGGCTGCCTAGTTGCTTGGTGAATGAATTTTTCCCCTACATCTCTTGACCTCTACAGAAGCATCTGTAGATAACACTTTATCTATCTTTATTCAGATAGGCAAACAGAAAACAACAAAAACAAAACAAAATGCCTGCTGCACGACAAAGCTGTAAGCCTGTGAATTAGGTCTGCACAAGTGTTCATTAACCAGAGGCATGCTTAGGATAAAAGCGTCAAGCTTGTATGACTTTCTAAGGAAAATAAACGTAATCTAGAGGTGGCCTATGGGTCCAGAAATCAGTGCTGTGGACCAGAGCACAGATGAGGAAAATGAAGTGTGCAGTTCGGCTCCTAGCAGGGGTGGGAAGTCGAAGAGCAATCTTTCTAGTGCAACGTCCTAGGCTATTTTGAGAGCTTAGAACTCAAAAGGCACAGAATCGAGGCTGTCATCTTGGCTGGGGGAGCAACAGGGAGCCCATCTGCCAGGCGATGGACGCCCGCATCACCCCCACCTCGCTCCTGCTGACCTGGCCCCGTCAGTCTTTTCCTTTCAATCACTTCCATTTCTTCCTACCCATCTGCGTGTAACCAGAGCAAGGACGGAGGTGGGAGAAAAGATGGTGCCTGGGGAAGCACGGACGCCACCCTGCGCGCTCCGCAGCCTCGCCACTTCCTCCTCCCCGTTCCACAGGTCCTGGAGCCCACAACGCCTCTCCCAGACCGCGGGCCTCCAAGACAAAGTCCGCAGTCATTAAACAGAATTCGTTTCCAATTGCACCCAAACGCAAACGACTTCTCCGCTCCCTTCCGCCCCTCACCTTTACGAAAGCAATCGGGGTTGTGGTACCTTCGATATCTAGAAGGATCGCAGTGACTTCGGCAGGCACCGAAAGCACGACCATTTCCCTACCGGATGCTACCACGGGAATCGGCCTGCGGGTCGGGAGGGCGAAGGACGGCGCCAGCAGCGCCTCAGAACCTTCCTGGCCTTCAGAAAAGCCCCGCAAACAATACTGAAGCTGGCGGCAGCGAGGGAACCCGGGCGCTCAGGACACAGCACCTCCACGGACGTGCAAGCGGAAAGCCGGCCGCCCAAGGTTCTGCACCGGGAGCAGCGAGGAGCCGCAGGCCCGAACCACGTGGGCAGCGGGTGGGCGGGGCTCTCCGGTTCCGAGGGGGCGGGGCGGGGCAGCCCGGGGCCTCACTGCCGATTGGCCGCCGGTAGGACCCGTACGCGATCCGTCCACTGGGATCTCGCGTGGGCGGGAACAAAGAAGCGAACGCGGGAGCCGCGTGCGCGTGCCTTGCGCAGTCTGGGTGCAGCCAGCGGGAGAGCCGGCCCCCCCCACCCCCCCAGCACGTGCAGACGGGAGCAGCCACCCGAGTGGCGCGCCGGGGACGTGAGTGCCCCTCCCCCGCCCTACGCCTAGACTTTTGAATCTTACAGTAAGCTGACCCCGCCCCCGCCCTCCACCGTGCGGGGCCGGGCTCGCGGCCGCACTCCCTGAGGCGGCGGCGGCGGCCGCGGCGGCGGAAGAGGCGCCCCCGCCCGGAGGGGCCGCCGCGCGCCCGCTTCCTGTGCGGCTGGTTTCTGTTCGCGGGAAACAAACACGCGTGCGCGCGGCGCACGGCCGCGCTCGCCGTCCCGGCCGCTCGCGCCTAGCGCGGTCCTTTTCCTGGAGCAGCCGGCCACGGTGCTAAGCCGACAGCAGCAGCTCCGCCCTGGGGCAGACCGAGGGCGCAAAAGAGCAGGGGGGTGAACGGTAGAGGAGTGGGTCGGATCGGACGCCAGAGACAAAGGCGATTTCCAGGCAAGAGGGACTGTGGTCCTGCCACGGCGCTGCTCGGGATTTCCAGCCCTCCCCGGGGGTTTTCGCCTCCGGTTCTTCCGTCCCAACCCCGCCATCCCTCAACTTCCCCCCCACTCCCCCCCGCGCGACCTCGCTCCTCACCGGGAGGGCCACGATGGAGGTCCCGCCCCGGCTTTCCCATGTGCCGCCGCCGCCATTGTTCCCCTCAGCTCCCGCTCCCTTCGCCTCCCGCAGCCTCTCCCATTGGCGGCCGCGGGCGCCCCGGCAGCTGGCCCCGCTCCTCCCTTCGCTCGCTTCCAGTTCCGCCCGGCAGGGGGCGCGGCGGACCCCGCGCCACGTCACCGCCCAGCCGCCCTCCCGATTGGCGGGCGGGGCGGCTATAAAGGGAGGGCGCAGGCGGCGCCCGGATCTCTTCCGCCGCCATTTTAAATCTAGCTCCATACAACGCTCCGCCGCCGCCGCCAGCCGGACTACGCGCCACCACCCTCCGACCGACCATTCCGCCACCATGGAGGACATGAACGAGTACAGCAACATAGAGGAGTTCGCAGAGGGATCCAAAATCAACGCGAGCAAGAATCAGCAGGATGACGGGTACCCCACGCTTTCCCCCCACCCCCCCAGCTCCTCTCCCTGCCCTGCCCTCCCAAAGCGCACCGCGCGCGCCCTGGTCTCTTCGGGAGCCGCGTGCTGCACCCATTCTCTTCCCGAGTCCACCTTCCGCGTGCCCGCCAGGCTCCACGAAGCTTGGAGGGGAGAGGAAAGGGGAGACGAAGGGGGTGACTCGAGAGCCCCGCGGAGGGTGGGGGAAGGGCGCGGCGGGGTTGGCGGAGGACGGCGGTGTCGCGGTCCCGAGTGCGCAGGCGCCGCGGGGGGGAGGGGCCGCCGCGCCGCTCTCCGCAGCCGCCGCCGCTGCCTCATTGTGTCTTCTGCTCTGCTCCGACGGCTTGCTCGGAGAGTTGGGCAAACTTCGGCCTGGGCACCCGGAGGTACGACTTGGTACCTTGGAGAGCATTACCTAGAACGTTGGCTTTGACAGCTGAGGATCAGAGCGGACCTGAGTCGCGAGGAGTCATTGTAGAAAAGTTGAACTCCCCCCTCCCCCCCCAAAGGAGTCTGGGTAGAACCGTCGCGTGTGATTCTAAGGGCTTTTTAAAACTGTACCTGATGGCAGCCTTGGGAAAGCACTTTGTCGGTTTGAATAAGTAACCTCGAGGTGGTGGAGCTTTGAGATTTGTGATCTGTTTGTATAGTGATAGGTTAAGAGGTTAGATTGAATGTGTAAATTACTCCCTGCTTATTTCAGGGCTGAAGTCTTTTTTTTTTTTTAAAGCTAATGTTAAACTTTTTTAAAAAGCAATTTTTTATCCCTAGTAAAATGTTTATTGGAGGCTTGAGCTGGGATACGAGCAAGAAAGATCTGACAGAGTATTTGTCTCGATTTGGGGAAGTTGTAGACTGCACAATCAAAACAGATCCAGTCACTGGAAGATCAAGAGGATTTGGGTTTGTGCTTTTCAAAGATGCTGCTAGTGTTGATAAGGTAGGAGTGAGTTTTGCGTTGTGCTTCCTTTTTTGTTTCTTGCATATTCTGGGTTTTGTATGTGTCTGCCACCGTAAAATAAATTTGTCTTCTAGGTTTTGGAACTGAAAGAACACAAACTGGATGGCAAATTGATAGATCCTAAAAGGGCCAAAGCTTTGAAAGGCAAAGAACCCCCTAAAAAGGTTTTTGTGGGTGGATTGAGCCCAGATACTTCTGAAGAACAAATTAAAGAATATTTTGGAGCTTTTGGAGAGGTGGGCTGTTTGCTGTGCTTATAAAAAGTTTTCACCCCTGGTCCAATTTCTATTAGAGTTAATAGTTTCACGTGGTAGGATTCATTACTGTCTGGGTGTTTTTCGAGTTACCCTATTCTAAATTTCTCTAATATAATGGTAATTCATAATTAGTGTCTGGACTTAAAGAACTGGTGGAATCTCTTGTAACATGATACTCTAGATACTTAAGTTGTTATGGCTTGGTCATAAAGCTCAGAAATCATTAGAATAACATTGAGGCTTGACAGGTCACGTAGCATTCTAAGACAGGGAGATAACTTTTTGCCACTATTGAATGATCTTGACTATGCATCTTGATTTCAGATTGAAAATATTGAACTTCCCATGGATACAAAAACAAATGAGAGAAGAGGGTTTTGCTTTATCACATATACAGATGAGGAGCCAGTAAAGAAATTGTTAGAAAGCAGATATCATCAAATTGGTTCTGGGAAGGTAAAGCAGTTTAATTACATGAAATGAAAAATTTGAGGGTTTTCTCTATTTGAGAAGGGAAAAATAGTCTTAGAATGTTAGTGAAAAATTCTGTTTGTGTTTATTTGTAGTGTGAGATCAAAGTTGCCCAGCCCAAGGAAGTGTATAGGCAGCAACAGCAACAACAAAAAGGAGGAAGAGGTGCTGCAGCTGGAGGAAGAGGTGGTACTAGGGGTCGTGGCCGAGGTGAGATTTGATTCTTAGGAAATAACCAGTTTAAGCTTTGTTGAAATTAAAGCTATCACAACATGGCAAAAAATGCTACCTTGTTGGGGGTGGGAATGAGCTTACTTAGTTTCACACCTACTGAGATTAGGCACTTTGATAATGACACCACAAACACCACTGCAAGAAGCAACATGGCATGATAGATTTCCTTTGGAGTCCTTGTTTTAAGTAGAAGGGCCTACCCATTTTCATCTTTAATGGTGGTAGGATTAACTGAAACCAAAACAACTGGTAGCTACCCTGCAGTATAAATAACCCATTCCTGCCTTTTAACTTTTGCAGAATAAAGGACAAGAATGTTTTGGGGTTTTTTGTTAGGCTTGGGGGTCAGAAGTTATTGCCTAACAATCATTGTGCATTGTTTCAGGTCAGGGCCAAAACTGGAACCAAGGATTTAATAACTATTATGATCAAGGATATGGAAATTACAATAGTGCCTATGGTGGTGATCAAAACTATAGTGGCTATGGCGGATATGATTATACTGGGTATAACTATGGGAACTATGGATATGGACAGGGATATGCAGACTACAGTGGTAAGAATATTTATCTTAACTTCATAAACCAGTGGTATTAAATGTTAAAAGTAGATTGCCATTTTGAAATTATGTGGCCTTAATTTAAATTATTAAGCATTTCAAATGTATTGCAGTTAAGATGATTATACTAACAATATAATTTATTGTTTCTGACTAGTTCATATGGCTATTGCATGCAGAGTTTTACATATTTGATAGTTTAAGTGTGTGGAACTGCCTTAATAGGAAATTTTCTGAAAAAGTTTTATTTTTCTTTCTAAAAAGGTCAACAGAGCACTTATGGCAAGGCATCTCGAGGTGGTGGCAATCACCAAAATAATTACCAGCCATACTAAGGAGAACGTTAGAGAAAGCAGGTGTGTATAAGAGTACAAGAAATCAGTGGAAGTGTCTTACTTTAAAGATCAATAGACAAATGAAATAAGTAAAAACAATGTAATGTAGCCTGTTTTTACTAAATTGTTAATTTTGTTAATTGCTTTATGAGTCTGTTTTGCCTAAAGTGTCTATAGATCTTTAACTTTTAAAGTCTTACCTCACCTTTTTTAGTATTACAGAAAAACTTAAAAGTTTTTCTGTTTTGTGTACCACAAGGTCTAGAGGAATAATTAAAACTTTTTTAAAACTATTAACAGGTAAAGTACTGAAATGGGTACAACTTAAGGAAAACAAGAATGTTATCTTCTAACTCTGACATTATACCTTGTTTGTACCCGCCAGCGGGAACTTCATTGCAGGCCGTGTGTCACCCTGACCACGTCTATCTCTGGGGGTCGCACGTTGCGGGCAGAGCGCAAGGCATACACCAGAAAACGCTGTCCTGTGGTATGGTCTCTTCCAACTTCATGTACCAGCGTAAAGATTAAAGTGGAAAACTTCAGACTTTGGCTTCTTTTTTAAAAAAAAAAAAAAGATCTTTTTGGAGATTTAAGTGTCATAAACTTAACTTAAATGGTTTTTTACAGGAGTTAAAGTACATAAATGCCTTTTTACAGCTTAATCATTTTGGTCTTCTGTTTAGTGTTGTATTTCAATTGTGGAGCCTCATTTTAAGTGTTCATTCTTTAAGATTTAATGCTTGCTTTTTCTTTTTATAGCTAATAGTGAAATCTACAAAACAAGAACTTGTAAATCTGGGATATAAGTTAAAGATCACATGCAAAGAAAATTAATTTTTTTGTAATACAGTAAACCTATCCAAAATCAATTATTGTTTTAGCATTTTATTTACTTGGTTTACTAGA